ACATATGCACTCATGTACTCAACACAAAGAATCTGCGCATAAATCAATGGGAAGACTTATCATTTTGATTAATTCCTCTGACGCCTCAAAGAAGATGAAATGGATGTTCCTAATTTCGTCTGCTGCCCCTACACGTACTTTATCTTTATCCATGTATGTCATCCATCCATTCATTCATTCATTGATTCAAGATAGTCAAGAGTTGCCCTAGTTCTGCTGTGAACTTGCTGACCCCACTGGGCAGACCCCTTCCCCTCCCTGGGCCTCACTTGGCTGCTCTACAAGGAGGTGGAGCAGGTGGTCAGCCCTGCTATGTGATGATGCAGAGATGCAATGTGTCTTTATTGACACCTGCCCCGGAGGCTGGATGGGTGGAGGGCCCTTTCAGAGCAGCCCTGAGGACAGTGGAAGTATCTTTCCAGCTTCTGCTGGACTCCATCAGGGCTGCCCACACCTACGTCCTAGCTTTTTTTTTTTCTCCTGAGGAAGATTCACCCTGAGCTAACATCTGTGCCAATCTTCCTCTATTTTGTATGTGGATCACCACCACAGCATGGCTGCCGATGAGTGGTGTAGGTCCCCATCTGTGAACCGAACCTGGGCTGCCGAGGCTGAGCACACCAAACTTAACCATTAGGCCATGGGGCTGGCTCCTGTCCTAGCTTTTTTATAGTCGGTTGGTTTTGTGGACCCACATAAAGCTCATGGGCAAAAAACTCCCTGCTTTTTCTCACATGACCCACTGACAGGCCCGGACCATGTGGCAGTGAACTGGGGCAATTGATTTGTAACACAAATTCAGGACTTCACATTTGTCCCTTCAATTACATTATGTTAATTTTGACCCATTATTCCAAGCTATCTGTGAGGCCTCAATTTTGTCCTCCTACTTTTAATAAGTTTTATATCTTCTGACAATCTGAAGAACCTGAGGTCATTAACAAAAACAAGGAACAGGAAGGACCAAGCTCTAGAAATTTCCTTTCAGGCTTACATCCATCTACTTTTTCCTTTCCTGTCTCCATTTTGACTGTTGGTTCTTGGTGAACCTCCACTGCTTATTACCATGCTTGGATATTCTCTGTTTGGTGCCTGTGCACTGTCAGTAATGCATTCTCCAGCCAGAATGTAAACTCCAGGGGGGCAGGAACCACATTGGTCCCGTTCATCACTGAATCTCCAGTGCCTGTCTCTCTGTCTGAGACTTAGAAGGTGCTCAGTATAGAGTCATTGAGAGAACAAGTGGCTCCTCTGACAGAAATGAGGATGGTAGTTATGTTAGAGTGGGACGCTTGTGGTGCTATTGCGTAAAACATGAGCGACATTAGTGTGTGTTACTGCCCCCATGGGCCCACCTTCCACATTCTCTCTGCCACCAGGCCTTTGATGCAGGGGGGTGGAGAGGAGAGGGAGATTTGGTGGGAAACTTTAAGCAAGAACTCTGGGGTACTTCTAGAAAGAGAGAGAATGTGGTGTGTGTGTGTGTGAGCTTTGGGGTCAGGCAGAATTTTGCTTTAGTAATTTTTTAACTGCCTGGTTGAAGGTGGTTGCTTATCATTTCAGAGCCTCAGTTTCTTCATCTGAAAATGGAGCTAATAATATCTCCCTCCCCTCAGTTGTTCTGGGGATTAAATGCAATGATGGAGATGGTAGGCCCAACTCCTTTTCCCTCCCCTCCCTCTTCCTTGTAGTGAAGGCTGAAATTCTCAGGGAGAAAGACAGAACAGTGCAAGGGATGTTATTTGTGCTCTAAGACAGCTCCGTACAATTCCCAGAGTCAGGGACGTCAATCTTGGCTTAAAAAAAAAAAAACTCTTTTCTCTAGTTACTTGAGTTATGAATGTTAATTGAAAAAAAAACCTGGAAAATTCAAGTGCAAAATAAAACATCACCTGTCCTCCTGTCACCCAGATTACCACTGTTCACATGTTGGTGTATAGCCTTCCAGACTTTACTTTTATGTACATAGTCAATTGTTTTTACAAATATGGTATTACATAATACATATTGCTTTGAAAACTTTTTTTTCACTTAGTGTATTGTAGACAATTTCTCATGTCAATAAATATAGTCCTACAATCTGTAGCAACATTGTTAATGGTTGCATAGTAGTCTGTAAGGATAACTTTATGCAATAATCTCTTATTGATGGACAATGGGTGCTTTCCGCTTTTATAAACAATAATGCAAGGAACATCCCCAAGCACGTATCTCTAAATCCAAGAGAGGCATGGGAGGATACCAATGTGACCGCCTGAGAAGGTCTCTAATGAGGCCATGTGGATAAGGCCTTGCACAGACCATGGGAGGAAGGAAGAGTGACTGGGGAGAGGGACACCAGATTGGCAACAAACTGTGAGAAGCACCTGAAAGGTTAGAGCTCAAGAGGAGTGGAGGCGGCTAAAAACTGCCTGGCAGGGCAATGGCCAAATAAGCCCACGTACATCTATCCTACACAGGACTCTGCAGCACTCACGGAATGGGGCGCCGCCAGGTACTGACACAGGGGCTCTCCAACGTATATTGTTGAATGAGAAAAGCAAGTTACAGAACAAAACATTTGTCATTTGTATATATATAGGCATCTTACCTCTTTTTTTTTTCAGGGAAAATAAAAAGTTTAATAAGGTAAACAGAAGATTCTCCCCAAATTTCTCCATATGTATGTTAATCTTTGTAGGACTAAATGTAAATAAGAATCTCAGTGCTAAAAAGGGTTTTTTTAAATACATAGAATCTTTCCTTTTTTATTGTGGTAAAATATACACAACATAGAATTTGCCATTTTAACCATTTTAACATATACAATTCAGTGGCATTAATTATATTCACAATGTTGTGCAGCTATCACCACTATCTATTTCTAAAATTTTCTCATTATCCCAAACAGAAACTCTGTACCCATTAGGCAATAACTCTCCATTTCCCCTTCCCATAAGCTCCTGGTAACCTCTAATCTACTATCTGTCTCTATGAATTTTCCTGTAAGATGTTTCATGTAAATGGAATCATACAATATGTGTCTTTTTGTGTCTGGCTTCTTTCACTTAGCGTAATGCTTTCAAGATTCATCCATGTTGTAGCATGTGTCAGCACTTTATGCCTTTTTATTACTGAATAATATTCCATCATATGGATATACGACATTTTGTTTATCCATTCATCTGTTGATGGACAGGCATTTTCTCTCAATGTCAGAAATCCATTTCTTCAAATCAGACACAAACATTTTGTGTGAAAACACTAAGTAGGAGCCTGTTTTCCATTATTTTAAATGGGAAAAATGGTAACAGGTTATGTGTCAACTTGCATCCCTCGACAGATTTCTTAAAATGTAATTAAATCCCAATAAAGTTCCTTTATATAAAAAACAAATTAGTATGTTAGGATGTAAAATGCTCAAAACATTGCTTCCTGGTTATCAAACAATGAATATGGTTGTAACAAATGGTTGCTTTGTTAGCAATAATAAGGCCTCTCAGCATCAGCCACACTCCCAATTTGCATCCCCTTTGTTGACACTTTTCAAAATGTCTACATGTGATTCTGAAACCCTATCAATTCTATTTGAAATGTAACTTGGGATTTTTCCTATACATCATTATGTTTAGAATGCCATACTGAGTTTTGGGGATGCAAATACTGTATATTTTCCCTATATAAACAACAACTGAAAAACATTGTGAGATATATGTGTTCTATAAAGTTTGGGTACTAAAAACCTAGATGTTCTGCCAGGAAAATGTCAATGGGGGAATATGTTCTAAAGGATATGCCAACATAGTTAAACAAAAAAACAAACCATATGGTTTTTAGGTACATATATAAGTGTAAATGCATAGAAGAATATACACCACACTAGTAACAATACAGAATAGAATAGAATTAGAAGGACTGGTCAATGAGAGCTTTAGTTTATCTGTAATATTTGCATTTTAATGAGTATATATTAATTGTGTGATTAAATATGAATGAATGCATGGATGAATGCATGAATTAATGAATAAATAAGTAAATAAAATGTGTTTGATACTCAGGACAACCTTTGGAATAGAAAGTCATAGTGTGGTATTAACAGAAGACAGAAAGAAGAGCTGCTAACCTTTCTTTTTCCTTCTTTTCAGAGTGTTGAGGAAAATGATTTCAAATCAGAAATAGTAGGAACAAATCATGATAAAAAGGTCCAGGTCCAAATGGGTGTCAAGATCATATGTGATCAGAAGTCTGCTTTCAGTGACCTTTGGGGAATCATGGAGGAAGGGAGGGGTGCTATGGGATGGAAATGGACAACTACTGCCATTATACTCAGTGAGGAATAGACAATGGATTTGATAATTAAAGATTGTCAAGATTGACGATTTCTGGCAAAATTCTAGAAATGATTATTATATATGGGGTCTGGCAATGCTTAGCAAGGAGAATATGTTTACTTTTTGGCTGAAACCAGCATGAGTTCTCTAAAAAAACATACCAAAGGGAGGAATATCATGCTTCTTTTGTTGATAAGGATATTGAATGAAGAGGTTAGGGGGATGTTGAAGATACTGTCTTTTGCTTTCAACAGGGCATGAAGCAGTTTGTGGATACAATGAAGAAATGTGGGCTTCATGATGGCCCTGCTTGGAGGATTCATAACTGGTGACTCACTGTACCCAACGAGGTATGATGATGATGATAGAGTTTGTGTCTTGCCAGCGGGAAGTCTTTGAGCCTGTGACTCAGCCCTGGTCATGCGATGTTTCTATCAGTGGCTCAGGTGAAGATGTAGGTGTCCAGTTCATCACACTTCCAGAAGACACAAAGAGGAACAGGATCACTAATAGGTTGCATGACAGAATTGAGGTTCAAAATGATCTTGACAGGCTGGAACGATGATCCTACGTGAACAAGTGACATTTGGAGGAGGGTGGATGTGGAGTCCTGCAGGCCAGTTAAAAAGATCAGAAGCACAAATATGGGACTGGAAGCCCTGGTTTAAGAATGAATCACTTGAGGCAGTCCCAAGATGGTGGCCACGATGAAGAAGGCGGCTGCAGAAGATGTCAATGTTACTTTTGAAGATCAACAAAAGATAAACAAATTTGCACGGAATACAAGTAGAATCACAGAGCTGAAGGAAGAAATAGAAGTAAAAAAGAAACAACTCCAAAATTTAGAAGATGCTTGTGAGGACATCATGCTTGCAGATGATGACTGCTTAATGATACCTTATCAAATTGGGGATGTTTTCATTAGCCATTCTCAAGAAGAAACACAAGAAATGTTAGAAGAAGCAAAGAAAAATTTGCAAGAAGAAATTGACGCCTTAGAATCCAGAGTGGAATCAATTCAGCGGGTGTTAGCAGATCTGAAAGTTCAGTTATATGCAAAATTTGGGAGCAACATAAGCCTTGAAGCTGATGAAAGTTAAACATTTTATAATACTTTTTTAAATTTGTTTAATAAACTTGAATATTGTTTAAAAAAAAAAAAAGAATGAATCACTTGAAAAAGACTGAGTTTATTTGACAGCTGGTTGACAGCAACCAATTGTGTGGCACTTCAAGGAGTGTGATGACTCCCAGGCTTCCACACTGCCTTAGTAGATGCAGAAAGCTTGGAATACAAAAGGTCAGTGGTCCCACTAGGTTCCGTATTTTGCTAGGTTCAGGGCTGAGGACCCTTCTTAAGAGTGATATCCAGGGAAGGGCAACCCCATGGTAAAGGATCTAAACACCAAGTCCCATGAGTAGAGTGACTATAAAATTTATTACCTAAACTGGGATGCATCTAAGAGTGAAAGAAAGTGTTATTAATAACTGCAATGTATAATAATTCTACCTTTGAGGCATCATTGGAAGATCTAGGACTTTTTATATTGGAGAAGAAAAGAATTCAAATAACCAAATGGTTGTCATATGAGAAGGGAAATAGATTTCTATGGCCTACTATTTTTCAAAATTATTATTTAAAAAGGAACACCTGCTAGGGCCGGCCCCATGGTGTAGTGGTTGAGTTTGGCGTGCTCTGCTTCTGGGGCCTGGGTTCATGGGTTCAGATCCTGGGCACAGACCTACACCACTTGTCAGCCAGGCTGTGGTGGCAACCCACATACAAAATAGAGGAAGATTGGCACAGATGTTAGCTCAGGGCTAATCTTCCTCAAGCAAAAAAAGAGAAAGATTGGCAACAGATGTTAGCTCAGGGCGAATCTTCCTCAGCAAAAAAAAAGGAACATCTGCTCAATGAAAAAACCTCACATCATAGTCAACTCTCTTCTGTCGAATGGGGATGATACTAGTATCCACCTCAAATTGTTATGAGGATTAAATGAGCGTAAAGTGTTTAGAACAGTGCATAGCATAAGAATTTATAAGATAAAAATAAAAATAAAACTTTAAAAGAAAAAAGTCCTCCCATCCTCTATATCAGTTGTGTGCCTCAAAGGTAGCCATATTATTAATTTGTTGTGTGTATTTCTAAATATTTTCAATTCCAAAAATTTAACTAATATTCTTACATGAAGCAAGTGTAACAAAATCTTGATAATAGCTGAGTGATTAGAATGTGGGAGTTCATTGTACTATTTTCTCTATTTTTATGTATCTTTGATGTTTTCATTAAAAATAATTATTTACATAGGTCAAAAAGCAAACTAATGTAAGGTAATAGCTATTCCTTATTACCTCCTTCTAGGCTACCATTTTAAAACTGCTTAACCGTATCTTCTGATATTTACTTCCCTATTTCTATTGAAGTATCATGTTTATATTGCTATATTTGACTGTTAATTTTTTGGGTATTACCTATTGATTATTTAGTATGGAAGATGAGGGTTGAGCTCTCTTATACCATTATCTATGTTCACCTTACCTTTGTTCATTCTCTCAATATACTTACATCACCATTTGGAGTAAAATCAATATTCTGTGTTTATGTATATAAATATGTAAATATTTCTTTCTTTCTTTCTTTTTTTTACAGCTGATTCATGTTATGACTTGCATCACATTTTATTTCCTGTATAACTTTTTGTTTTTCTTGGAGTTAGTAATTGCCTCAGCTTTTTTTTTTTTTTTTGGTTATTTGCTAAATATTCTAGTTATTTATTACTAATTCATGTCCAAATTCCCAACAGAAATATGAAACATTTTATTTGTGTCAAACATATTTTGTAATCTATTGTTACCATATTTTTATTGGTAGCATCTGTTTTGGACCTACACTTTTTCCATTCAGGGCCATCACTAACACAAACGGCCCTTTAGAGTGAAATTTTTAAAAAGACACCCCCTCTGGACAGATGGATTGTAAAAAGGAGCTTCCTGGGATGACAAATTACAGAATAGTGCTCTCTTTGGGAAGACCCATTAGTAAGTGTTTTCTTCCTCTAGGTTTGATGCAACCCTTCATCAGGAATGTGGCTTGGCAAGCAGAGTGCAAGACAGATTTTGGCTCTCATTTAAGGTCCCCAAGCTAGACACCTTTATCAGGGAACAACCTGCACAACTGTATGTGGTCTACCTGTTCCTGTTCCTATCTGCACTGGTTACTCCATGGATATGTTGCACAATTGTCATTATGAAATTTTCCTTTTCCATCATTTTGGAAATTCCCCTCACTCTTCTCATGTGTTAGATCTTTTGCTTACTGGGTCCCAAATATTCCTCTTTTTTGGTTTATTCCTTCATTTTTGACAGAGAACATCCTAATTTTTTAAGAAAGGATGCATGGGAATTTTGAGGGACTTTGGAAATGTAAGAAACACTTTATTTTAGTCTCACACTTGATCGATATTTTAGCTGGGTATAGAATTCTAGATCTGAAATAATTTGTCATAAAAATTTTGAAGGTATCATTATTCCATTATCTAATAGTTTCCATTATTGATGTTGAGAAGTTTACTGCCATTCTTATTTCCAAACTGTTGTATTTAACTCTTCTTTCCCCTCTTTCTCATTCTGGGATCCTCTTTATCCCTTGGTGTTTTAAAATTTTGTGAGTATGTGTTTTAGTATGGGAATTTGTAAATCCATCGTACTGGGTATTTGATAGGCCCTTTCAACATAGCAATTCATGTCTTCACTTTCGGGAAATTTATGAAATTACTTTTTTATAATTTTCTCACCTCCATTTTCTTTGTCCACTTTTTCTGAGACTCCTGCTAGTCAGATATTTATACTTTCTGTCTTTACCCTCTAGTTTCTAATTCTTTTCTTTCCTAGTTTCATCTCTGTGGCTATTCATTCTACTTTCTGGATAGTTTTTCAGCTTTACCTTGAAAACCTTCTATTAATTATTTTTACTTCTAATTTATATATATGCATATATACATACATGTATGTATCAATTTCCAGGGGGTTAAAAATTATTATTATTCCATGAATGTACCTTAAAAATACACCCTGTTTTTGTTTCATAGATGTGAGTTTCTTATACCTCTTTGAGACTACTAATTGTAGGTGGGTTTTTGTTTTGTTTTTAGTTTTCTTCTCTTCCCTGAATTATCTTTGATACTTTCAAGTTCTTTTTCTTGTGATAGTTAATTCTAGTCTTTATCTCTCATGTTAGAAGCTTATTTTAAACCATTAGTATCCTTTCTTGTCCATCAGTACAGAAAAGTAAGGCACTGAAAGACTGCTTGGAAACTCTGTGTGCATGTTTGGAATCTGCTGATTAGTAGACATCACCGAAAAGTGATAAAGCAGAGACCCCGGTATTTCGTGAGAGACCCCAATTGCCAGAATCTAGAGGTATTTTCTTTTGGGCTGGCCAGTTTCTTCAGAATTTCCAGCTTGGACAGCTAAACACTTGAAGATAGTTGTCAGCTTTCTGCAAGTCAAGATGGAAGAGATGGCTACCCCCAAATTTAACTAGTTTGTTTTAATATAACAATTTTTTTAAAACAAATTATTATTATTATTATTATTATTTTTTTTTGTGAGGAAGATCAGCCCTGAGCTAACATCTGTGCTAATCCTCCTCTTTTTGCTGAGGAAGACCGGCTCTGAGCTAACATCTATTGCCAATCCTCCTCCCTTTTTTTTTCCCCAAAGCCCCAGTAGATAGTTGTATGTCATAGCTGCACATCCTTCTAGTTGCTGTATGTGGGACGTGGCCTCAGCCTGGCTGGAGAAGCGGTGCGTCGGTGCGTGCCTGGGATCTGATCCCGGGCCACCAGTAGCAGAGCGCGCGCACGTAATCACTAAGCCACAGGGCCGGCCCCTAACAATGGTTTTTAAATTTTTTATTATTGAAAATTTCAAACATATATGAAAATAAAGAGTATAGTATAACAAATCCAGCTCCAACAATTACCAATTTATAGCCAGTCTTGTTCCACATAGTCCCCAACCACTCCACCTCCCAGATTATTTTATAGCAAATCCAAGACATTATATCATTTAATCTGTAAATATTTCAGTTTATATTTCTAAAATAAAAGGACTTTTAAAAATGGCCATAATATCACTAGCACTTCTAAAAAATTTCATAACGTGCAATTAATGCCATGTTTACATTTCCTTGGTTACCTCATAACTTCTCCTCTTCCTGCTCCTCTTCTTCTTTTTAACTACTTGCAGAATTCAAATATATTGCAATTAGTTGATATGTTTCTTAAGTTTCTTTTAGTCTATCCATTTTCCCCCTTGCAATTTCTTTATTGAAGAAGCAAGATTATTTGCACTAAAGTTTCTCACAGTCTGGGGAAACTATACAAACAAGAGCCTAAATCACATTGCATACTTGTGGCTCCTCTATTCATAGTATTTCTGTAAGATGGTAGTTACATCTAGAGGCTTGATCAGATTCACATTTGAATTTTTGGAAATACTACTTATAAGGTTTTTTGTTTTTGTATTTTTTGTATTTCCATTGAGAGGCACATAATGTTCTGTTGTTTCTCTTTTTGTGAAATTAACAGCCATTGATGATCATTGCCTAGATCTGTTATTCCATTAGGGATTGCAAAATGGTGATATTCTAATTCTATCCATTCCTTCTCCATTTATTAGCTGGAAGACTTCTAGAAAGAGAAATTTCCCCTCACCTACTATTTGATTTTCCTAAGGTACAGTTCATATAAGAAAGGCAGTAGAGGGCCGGCCCCGTGGCTTAGCGGTTGAGTGCGCGCACTCCGCTGCTGGTGGCCCGGCTTCGGATCCCGGGCGCGCACCGACACACCACTTCTCCGGCCGTGCTGAGGCCGCGTCCCACATGCAGCGACTGGAAGGATGTGCAGCTATGACGTGCAACTATCTACTGGGGCTTTGGGGGGAAAAACAATAAATAAATAAAATCTTAAAAAAAAAAAAAAAGAAAGGCAGTAGAAATATTTGATTCGCTCTCTCTATTTATCAGTATCCAAATAATGAGTTGGTTCCCTAGCATCCTCCAAAGAATATCAATAGGGTTTTTCTTTTAACTATAATTATGTACTCATGGACTTAAATATATCTGATGAGTTTCTATCAATTGCAGTTA